ACTCCTCGTCCCCCCCGGTGGGGGACGGGAAAAGGAGGGGGCTGCTGCCACCAGCCAACTCCCTTAATTTAACTGCAACGACGGTGCCACGCCCGACCTAAGTCGGGCGGGTACTGCGGAGACTAGCGCCTCCACAAGCAGCTCCAGGGTTTCCCCTGGAGCGGTCACAACAAGCAGGGGTCCCCCCCTGTCGTTCCCGGTGAATTCACCACACACCACCTCAGCGTAACACAAGAAACAACACAAAAAGAAACTAAACCTATCTTAACCTAACTAGCCTTTTTTTTTTTTTTTAACGTGTGGAAAAATCTTCAGAAGACCGTCACCCCGCCGGAGGGATGGCGAGGTGGTGTGTGGGACTTGTACCCACTAAAAAACCACACGGTGTACCTACGAGCGCCTATGCCGGAGCCAGGGGATCGCAAGTGCATTCTACCCCAGCTCCGACGGCGACGGCCCGCCCTGTAGATGTTGTAGGGCAGGCCCCATCTCGTTTTGTGGTTAGGGCGACCTATTTCGCCCTACTCCATTGTGGAGGCGTGTGGGTACACGCGCACACCTCCGGGGCCTTTGGATTGGGGGGACTGCCTCCCTCAAGGCAGTCACCCCGGCCCCAGTGGGGGATAGAGGGGGGCGGAGTTGGATACGCTCCCACCTCTAGGCCTGGCTCTTCTGCGGCGGAGGGAAGCGGGACGAGCTGACTCCCGCTCCCTTTCCGCCGCCTCCTTCCGCGAGATAACTTCCTCGCAGAAGGAGCTCACCGCCAGCCACGATCTCTCGCTACTGACCATCCTCCGAACTAAATTCGGCAGCGAGAGATCGTCCCCCACTATTCGTGTGAGGACACGGCGCTCACTCTCAAACGCTGGACATATTTCCAGCGTGTGTTGCGCCGTGTCCTCAACACCTCCGCACTCGTGGCAGCCGGTCGTCGGCTCCTTCCTCGCCACATGACACAGATACCGCCCGAAGCATCCGTGCCCGGACAGTATCTGCGTCATGCGGTACGTCAGTGGCCATCTCCTATTCATCCACCGTTTGAGGATGGGACGGACAGCCTCGACGGTCCTCAGGCCGGCCGACGGGCTCATCAATCTAGCCCGCCATTCGGTCCTGAGGATCCGCCGAAAGTCGGACCTCCGCGCTTCGATCTCGTGACCAGCGAGTGCCTCCCCCATGGAACGTCGCTCCGCGCGCCAGTGGTACACTGACGCGTGGAGCTCCGCTACCAAGTCCCACGGAGGAGACCCCGCCAGCAGACCCGCCGCTTCCCCGGATATGGTGCGGTAGCCTCTAATGGCCCTGATGGCCATGGCCCTGTGTGGCCTGTTAAGACAGGCCACATTTTCCCTACCTAGGGCCCCCACCCAGATGGGGGCCCCGTACAGGGCCATGGACCGCACCACGCCGAGGTATAGGCGGCGGGAACCTTCTCCCGGGCCCCTCACGTTTGGCAGCAGCCAGCTAAGAGCGCCGGCGGCTGCCATAAGGCGAGGGACCAGGTTCCGGAAATGAGCGCGGAAGCTCCAACGACTGTCCAGGTCAAGCCCCAAATACCTAATACAGGGCTTGACCCCCACCCTCTGGCCACTGACGACCAGCTGGGCATCCGGAGGTGGCGCGCGCCGAGGCCCATGAAAACATAGGACCTCGGTCTTCTCCAGCGCCACCTGGAGCCCAAGCCTCCTTATTCGGCCGACGACCAGTGCCACGCTTGCCGTGGCAAAGCGGGTAGCCTCCCGTAAAAAATGTGGTCAAGTTGTGCCTTAACCATTTTGTGTGTTCCATCCTTGTCAAGGGGAGTGCTAACCGTCTCTCCTTTCAATAGACACAACCTAACTAGCCTAACCTAACTATATATATACAAAACCTAACCTAGCTAATTAATAAAGAAAAGAAAGAAAGAAAAGAAATCAAATAAAGGAACAAGAAACACAATTAATTACGCTAGAACAGACAATCCGCAATCCAACCTAACATCCAAGGACTTTAGACCTATATCAATCCTGCCTTTCCTCTCTAAAATACTAGAAGCTGTGGTCCACAGACAGTTATCTGATTTTGTTTTTAAAAACAACTTAGTAAGCCCCTACCAGTCTGGTTTTCGCCCTGGACACAGCACCACTACTGCTCTTCTGAAAATTACTGAGGATGTGAGGGAAGGCATGGACCAATCTAAATTAACAGTTCTCGTTTTAGTCGATTTCTCTAATGCATTTAATACCGTTGACCATGATGTCTTACTCGCTATCCTTTCACATCTTGGGATTTCATCGTCAGTTGTTAAATGGTTTAGCTCCTATCTTCGTGGACGTCAGCAGGCAGTTCGTGCCAATCAGGCATTATCGGATTGGTGCGATCTTGTTACTGGTGTTCCTCAAGGCGGTATTTTGTCTCCATTACTTTTCTCTATCTTTATAGATTTTATTACTAAAGTTCTTAAATGCTCTTACCATTTGTACGCAGATGATCTCCAGATCTACTCCCAGGCTGTTGCGTCGGAGCTCAGTGATACCATCGGCCAATTGAATATTGATCTTGATCATATACTCAATTGGTCCAAAAAGTTTGGTGTTGCTGTTAATCCCTCCAAATGTCAGGCAATAGTCCTCGGAAGCAGTAAACAACTAAATAAAATTAATTTCAACACTTTACCTCCTGTTCTATTTAATAAACAACCAATTGCGTATAGTTCTCAAGTAAAAAATCTCGGTTTAATTATAGACAGTACTCTAAGTTGGAACAACTATGTTAGTCGTAAAGTCACAATTACACTGCGTAACTTATATAGATTGAAAAACTTTCTCCCTATAAGTACTAAAACTCTCCTTGTCCAATCATTAGTTCTCCCCACTCTTGATTATGCTGATGTGTGCTGTTCTGACATGAACGTAGACCTTTTAAACAAATTGGATCGGCTTCTCAACAATTCTATCCGCTTCATTTTTAACTTGCGCAAATTCGATCATATCTCTTCTTTTCGTTCACAGCTTAAATGGCTACCTATCCGTTATCGTAGAAATGTTCGTATGCTATGTACTCTCTATTCTTTTCTATATGATTCTAATTCTCCTGATTACATTAGCAATCAATTTCATTTCCATGGGGACAACACCATTCGCTCTATTCGCACGACCAGAAAATGTTTACTTCATATCCCGGCTCATTTGTCCGGTTTCGTCCACTATTCTTTCGCCGTTCAGGCTATCAAACTTTGGAACGACTTACCCCTTGATATCAAGACCGCCACGAGTAAGTTTTCTTTAAAGCGTAAATTGCGGGAATACTATTCCAGCTTATAACCTTTCTATTATGTAGAATAGTTTTCCATTTTATCTTTTTGCGTGACTCATTGTTATTTGTACATCTTTTCTATGTTATAGTTGCTGAATTTGTTTTTTTTGTTATGGTCTATCTGCTGTTGCTATTTCATTGTCAGACTATGAAGTATGTTATATGTATGTATAAGTTATATGATGTGTATATGGTATATTTAGGTATGTATTTTATTCATATTTATCTATAGCTTTATATATATTGTATGTATTTGTATATGTATGTTTACATGTACTTACGTTTAGTAAATATATATTATTTATGACATAGGCATTATTTTTCTTATTGATTTTATTTGCACCGCCTACAGTTTCTCTGCACAACCTGTGGTTGACTGGTAGAAAATGCCGTAAGGCGTTAAGTCCGCCATATGTACTTTTACCTTGGTATTTTGTGCATTGAAGTTATATAAATAAATAAATAAAATAAATAAATTTTCGGGGCGAGGAGCTCACCGTTCATCGCACACAGCGTTCGAGACAGGAACGCGGCAGAGCACCGAGAGTCGCACCCGTCAGCGTACACCGCCATAACAAGGAACCACTACATGGACGACTGGGTCGATAGCTTTGACTCCGAAGAGGAAGCAGCCCGCGCCATACGAGAGGTAGTAGAGGTTCATGGCGGGATAGGATTCACGCTGGCGGGTTGGAATACAAACCGACCGAGCCTGCTAGAGAATGTGAGTGAGGACCAGCGAGCGAGGACGCCGAAGGAACTGGGAGCCAACGCACATCCATACGGAAAGACATTGGGGTTATTGTGGATGTCAGCCGAAGACCAGCTGGCGTTCAACACCGGCATGCCACGCGTCCCACGAGAAGTGAGGCACGGCACGCGGATACCGACGAAAAGGGAAGCCTTAGGAGCGGTGATGTCATTGTTCGACCCGCTCGGGCTGCTGAGCCCTTACACCATCACGGCAAAAATCATCTTGCAGGCGCTGTGGGTGCAGAAGGTCGAATGGGATGACTCTCTGCCCGCCGAGGAAGCGCGGATGTTCCAGGAATGGAGAGATGACTTAGCCTATATAGAGGAACTGAGATTGCCGCGATGGTATGGCACGAACGACAGCCAACGGTCGCAACTGCACGTATTCACGGACGCAAGCGAACAGGCATATGCCACAGCCGCGTATTGGAGGACGGAACGCGAGGATCGTAGCGTTAACGTCGTCCTGGTAGCAGCCAAAGCGAGGGTAGCGCCTATGAAAGCGCAGAGTATACCCCGGATGGAGCTTCAGGCGAGCCTGATAGGAGCCCGACTGGCCGCTGACATATTGAAAGAACATAGTCGCGAGGCCGAAGTCTTCCTATGGACGGACTCGAAAACGGTGCTACACTGGATAAGGAACGACACCGTCAGATATACTCCATACGTGGCTCATCGTTTGGCAGAAATCGCCGAACTGACGAAACCGACACAGTGGCGCTGGGTACCGACTGCCCACAACGTAGCCGACGACGCGACTCGCGCGGGATACACACAAATGACCGCTGCCGACAGATGGTTTGTCGGGCCGGCATTTCTGTACGCTCCGGAGCAAGAATGGCCTCATGAGAGCGAGCCCGTCCCAGCAGAGATGGTAGCACACGTCAGGAATCAGAACAGAACCCGTGATCGACATTGCACGGTTCTCTTCATATGACCGAGTGAGGAGGACCATGGCGCAAGTGCTACTGTTCGCAGATAAATGCAGGCGACGGGCACAGAAGCTAGGCACAGAGCATTTCGCCAAAGCGGAGCAACTAATAATACGGCAGGCGCAACAGGACAGTTTCCCGAAGGAAACGCGGTGTCTACGCGAAGGAAAGACCGTAGACAGGACAAGTCGTCTGTTCCGCCTGGATCCCGTTTACAAGGATGGCATAATACGCTTGAACGGACGTATAAACGCAGCACAGGTGCCGCTAGAAATGAAGAATCCACCCATACTGGACGGAGCGCACCCGTTGGCGCAGATGATGATTAAGAGAGAACACGAGCTACATCATCATGCCGGCAGAGAACAGACGGTGAACACCCTGCGCCAATACGTGTGGATGCTGCGTTTAAGGCCGACCGTCAAGACCGTATTAGGCAAATGCACAACATGCGCCGTACGCCGGAGGAACCCCGACATCCCAGTGAAAGGGAACTTGCCAAAGGAGCGACTCGACGCATACGCCCGGCCGTTTACAAGATGCGGTATGGATTGTTTCGGGCCTATGTGGGTGACGATAGGTCGCAGGCGAGAGAAGCGATGGGGGCTCCTATTCACGTGTATGGTCACCCGGGCCGTGCATATAGAACTCATAGCGGGGTTATCGACCGACTCTGCTATAATGGCGATACGACGCATGGCAGCGCATCGCGGCTGGCCACGAACCTTTATGTCGGACAACGGAACGAACTTTCGCGGAGCCGACGTGGAGCTTACGACTGCGTTTAAGGAATGGCTCCCTGAACTGGAAAAGTACGTCAGCAACAAGAGGATAAACTGGCGGTACAGCGACCCGGGCGCACCGAACCAAGGAGGAGCGTGGGAGCGACTGATAAGGAGCGTGAAGAGAGCGCTAGCAGTGGTACTGCACGAGCGGGCGCCGAGAGAAGAGGTGCTCGCAACGCTAATGACGGAAGCAGAACACACCGTCAATTCACGCCCCTTAACCCACGTCTCAGTGCGACCCGAGGACGAAGAGGCGCTGACCCCCAACCATTTTCTGATGGGCTCAGCCGTCGGCCGTGGCGCGCAGCACAGGCGCTCGCGGATAGATTCTGGCAGCGGTGGTTACGAGAATACCTACCGACGCTGACGCCCAGAGACGACGTACGACGGAGCACGGCAAACATCAAGCCGGGCGACATGGTTTTAATAGTGGACGGCCTGCTACCTCGCAATCTGTGGCCGCGCGGGCAAGTGGAGCGCACCTATGAGGGGCCCGACGGCGTGGTGCGAAGTGCGGACGTGAGGACGCGAGGGGGAATTTTTCGAAGGCCGACCCGAAGGCTAGTGGTCCTCCCTAGGGATAAGGGCTGCGAAGATCTGCGCCGGGGGAGGCTGTTGCGGACCACGAGTCGGCATCGAAAATATGTAAATAAATTTTGTGTATAAATTTGTATTTTTCCAGTGTTTTGACTATTGTTTAGGTTAGACTATTGTTTGTACCATATACCCTTTGTAGCGGCATAGATACTGTGAATTCTATGTCCGCCCATTGTGTAAATTCTTAGGGATCACAGCTTTAGTGTAGCCTGAACATGTGGCATTTAGTCGCACGTGGTTTTTTGTAGTTTTTTGTATTGTTACTATTGTATTTAATTTTAAATGTGTGCGTATTCGCTGTTCCGGCCCGTCGGTCACCGACATGTGCAGGAATTGTCGGGAGGGTGGGACGGCCGACGCGCACAGCTCGGCGGGGGTGGGGAAGGACGCGCTCGCGCGCCCGTAAAAGGCGGGTTGGTTCTCGATCGCGCTCTCTTACGCATACGCCACCGACGAAGAACCACCGCCGGCGCAACGACCAAGAAAACCCCACTCCGGCCGGCCGACCCATAGAATAAGAAACAAATTGAAATACAGTCCACATATTTTGAAAATCGAAGATCTTTTAATTGTGTACCCCACAGCAGTGGTCCCCTCGATGATTGATAAACTGCTCTCTGGACTCGATATATATAAATGGGCTGGCCCAGATTATATGTCAGCATATTTTTTAAAAGCTTGTTCTAAAAATTTATCCATTCCCATTTGTTTATTATTCCAACGTTCTCTGGCCGATGGAATAGTCCCTATAATTTGGAAATCTACCTTTATAACCCCTGTTCACAAAAAAGGTCCAAAGAATAGAATTGAAAATTATAGGCCTATTTCTAAATTATGTCACATAGCTAAAATATTTGAAAGATTAATATATAATCAACTCTATCCAGCGGTAAAAAATTCCCTACATCACTTTCAACACGGGTTTATCAGTGGACGGTCTACAGTGTCCAATCTTGTTCTATTTAATGACTATTTGACAGAAGCCATGGATGATGGACACCAAGTAGACGTTATTTATACAGATTATAGTAAAGCATTCGATCGCATTGATTATTGTTTGCTTTTATCTAAGCTTCAGTATGTAGGAATTAGGGGCGATCTTCTTAGATGGTTCTCGTCATATATTGATAATCGTTCTCAAGCTGTTGTAGTCAATAATTATGTTTCAAGCTGGGTTTCTATCCCCAGCGGCATTCCTCAGGGTTCATTATTGGGTCCTTTATTATTTATTATTTTCGTCAATGACATCAGTAAATGCTTTCATTTCTCAAAACTCCTGTGTTTTGCTGATGACATGAAAATTTTTTCTAAAATATCAAATCTATCTGATAATGCAGCTATTCAGTCTGACTTACATAGACTAGACAACTACTGCGTCACTAACAAGTTAGATTTGAATCCTTCGAAGTGTTTTTCGGTTACATTTACACGCAAACTTAACTCTATTCATAATAATTATTTGCTTAAGGGTCAACAGCTAAAAAAAGTATCGCAGATAAATGATTTAGGAATAACACTCGATTCTAAATTAATATTCGACACACATATTAACAATATTGTTAATAATGCAATGCGCACCATGGGATTTGTTATGCGTAACTCCAGCTGCTTCGTACAAGCTAAAACTTTAAAAATACTTTACTGTACACTGGTGCGCAGTAAGTTGGAGTATGCATCTCAGATTTGGAACCCCAGATATGATACGTACATTGCACGTATCGAAAATGTGCAGAAAAAATTTGTCCGTTTTCTTGCCTACCGTATCAAACAGCAATTTGACTCTAAACAGTATATTAGTATGTGTAAAAAATACCACTTACTTACCCTTGAGAAACGCCGTGAAATTGCTGATATCATTTACTTGATTAAAGTAGCCTCCGGTGTCATAGACTGTCCTGAGTTACATTCAAAACTTAATTTTAATGTACCAGCTAAACGTTCCAGATTTATTTCCTCTATTTCTATACCTGTGTCATCTACCTATAGGCAAAACAGTTATATATAGCGAGAAAGTAATAACTTCAATAGATTAAGTAGGGTATTAGATATTGATTTGTTTTCCGATGGAATATCTTTAGCGAGGGCCGTAATGAGCAGGCAATTCTTTGAGTTATAAGTATTGAATTTAATGTTATGTTAGGTGTAACTTCCTGTGGTGGCGCCACCGTCGTGCGGCGCGTCTATAAAAGGCTGCGAAACCCGGTGTGCGTCCTACCCGCACCCCATACGAGCCGGCGTCCCTCAGGGCGCCGTCCTCTCTCCGATGCTCTACTCGTTGTACACCAACGACATCCCCAAATTCTCCGACTTAAAAGTCGAAATATCGCTGTTTGCCGATGACACGGCTCTCTTTACATCCGCCAAGTCCCGTGCGACAATAGCCAGACGGCTTCAGAAAGCCGTAACGATACTGGGCGAATGGTTCCGTCGGTGGCGCATAGAAGTCAATCCCGAAAAAAGTGCAGCAGTGTACTTTAGCAGGGAATTCGACTCTATGAATCACCCGATCGAACTATTCGGCCAAAACATCCCGTGGGTTTCGAAAACGAAATATCTCGGCGTCACCCTAGATAGGAAACTAACGTTTCGTCCTCACATCAAGCGTGTCCGCGACCGAGCCGCCTTTATACTAGGGCGACTCTATCCTTTTATTAACAAGCACAGTAAAATGTCGCTTCGCAACAAGCTGACATTATACAAGGCTTGCATCCGTCCCATCATGACCTACGCTAGTCCCGTATTCGCCCCCATACCCTACTGCTTAATCAACAGACTGCAGGTCATTCAGAATAGGTTTCTGCGTCGAGCCACCGGTGCGCCGTGGTTCGTTCGCAGCGTAGATCTCCACCGCGATCTTAATCTGCCCTCCATCAAGCAGTTTATGAAGGAAGCGTCTCGACGCTACTTCGACTCTGCCCAATCCCACCCTAATCCGCTTATAGTCAGTGCGGTCGACTACGCACCGAGGAGTAATATCCGACATACGCGACAACGTCGCCCGAGGCACGTTCTCATTGACCCCGACGACCCCATAACGGCAGGTAACCTCCCCACGGGCCCACCCGTTCCACCCCGACCACACTTTTACACACACACACGACACCGTCCTCGCCGGCGAAGACGACGACCTCAAACACACAATATCGCGCATTCAACCGGGCGCCTGTGCGCGCCCGGGCGCTCCACACCGGCGCCCCCGGGCGCCCCTCCGATCGATCCCCCGTCCAATTCAAACGGGGATCGAAATTACGACGGCCTGAGCCGAGGTTCGAACCCCTAGTGGTGCCCTCAGACTAAAGTCGTATCCGTCGGGCAGGAGTTGGCCTTCAGCCGCTCCATAAGTCCTTCCGCGGGTTTGGAGTGCCATCTGCACTCGCCCCATAACGTCCGGTGAAGCTGTAAAGGCCAGCTACGGCCAACAGCATTAGAGTAGTCCGAAAAAAAAAAAAAAAAAAAAAAAGTGTGCGGTCTCTTTTGGTCGACAGACGTGCTCTCGAACGAATCTCCGTATCATACCGTGTTTGCTTTATAAGTTCTTTTACTGATTTTGTTAAAATTAATTATACGATTTGTTATAAGTTTCTTTTATTTAATTAAATTTAAAGCATATTCCTAACATCAGAAGTGGGATTCGAGGCCATTTTGGTCGCGAATAACATTTTTGACTAAGGATTGATTACATGTCGAGTAGAAAACGCCCATCGTTACGAGAGCACGCGTCTCCGTTCTCCACCTATCAAATATAGGTGAACTAGCTGCGTTAATGGACGCAAGTCTCAACAATTGGTGTCGCTGGAACAACGTGCGGTAGCTCAGCGAAACAGGGGTTCGCATATAGCTGCCGACGTAGATGCTGACGACGTGCCTGCGCCGGCACCGGCCCCGCCGCGCTGTCGCCGCCCGCGCAGACAGTCGGCGCGCCAGCCGGACCCGCCAACGCGGCGCCAACGTGCGCACCTGGTGGGGTGGCGCGATCGGTTGCTACCTCAACAGACATTACGAAACGTCTTATCGACGCTTAATGTCATGAATCTGGTGAGATCTTTCCATTTTTATATTTCATACTTTTAAGTATGCGCAACATTGACGAATAGTTGCGATGAAGTAGATCGTGGTCATTCAGTGAACCGACAGACGGTGTCAGTTTTGTCGTTAAAAGGTGAAGCAAGTGCGTAGTAACGTGAGTGAGCTAGTGATGATCATACTTGGTCATATATGATAGCAAACTACGTAGTATAGAAGTAGATTCTTAAATACGGTGCTATAGTTGCAATATAGTCGGGTAGTATAGAAGTAAATTTAGTTCTTTTGAAAAATAACCTACGGACAAAATCGTATATGCGTTTTGTAAGAAGATAGGTCATACTGAATACGTTTACTTTATAAAGAAATAATCTGAATTAGGCTAACGCAAATTTTCGCCGTGACTTGGACTAATGATAATGCACATCGCGACGAAATTACCGCCGTAATATGCGGGTACCCACGGATGTTTAGTACGATAGTGGTTCAACAACTTCTTTTAAATCAAATGATCGTTTTCGTGTTGTAAGGTGCACATATTATGCTGTTTAGGCGAAACGGATATGCGGTCTGGTTATACCCACAGATGTTTAGTACGATAGTGATTCAACTTCTTTTAAATCAAATGACCGTTTTCGTGTTGAAAGGTGTACATATTATGCTGTTTAGACGAAACGGATATGCGGTCTGATTATACCCGCAAATGTTTAGTACGATAGTGGTTCAACTTCTTTTAAATCAAAAGAT